TCTCTCTTTAACGCCTTGACCTTACACGTTGCTGACGCGCAAGGTTGTCCACTGCGGCCACATTACCGTTTCCCACATAGTACTGTTATTCTCACAACGGTCCAGCGTTGTTGGGAGAAACCCACAGCAGCTTTCGTAATTGCTCGCTAGAGAGGGGATCGGATTCATGCGCTGGGGCCTGTATGGGAATTCATAATTGTTTCGCGCAATCAATTTTTTTTGAAACTGACTTCCACCATTTTCCCGTTACAGGTGCGCTATGTAATGCTCTCCTGGATGCCCCGCTCGCTGCAAACGTTCCCTACAAGTGCTGTCCCTAAAAGTAGAATTTGGTGGCGACTTTGTTCCCCCTCCCCCCTTCGCTCCACGGCATTTTTTATTTAGGGAAATGTGGAAATTTCCCTGGGAAACTGGAAGAAATGGTAGGGAGTTGGAAACACTTAGGAAAATGGTGGGTAGGACGGGCGGCGAAGAGGAACGTCGTGCCCGACGAGGGACATAGAGTCAACAGACTACCATGTCTACCATCTTAATGATATAACCTGATTCTTACAAACAATCTTGTAATGTAGAAGTGTGCCTTCGATGCTGTTCCCGCTTCACAACCATTTTCTGCTTCATAAGTAGTTCGTGCATAAGTGGATTGTTCTGAAAGTAGTGGAACTTATTGTATACCAAAATATTAGCGAGAAAATTTGTACCCGAAAGATGCCAAATTCGTGCAATTCCATTGCAAAAACCATTTAAAAAGTAAAACGGGACCAGTTTACACAAGCTCTTTTTTGTCCTCTGAGGAGGTCTCGAATTTTCATCTTTCCCCTTCCGCGCGCACTCTCATATACAGCTATGCAACAACATTATTTTTTGAGTGAGCGGAAGTCTCCCCAACTCCTTCCGACCGATAGGATTTCGGATTGTTTGTAGTAAGGATGTCAGAAAAATTTCCCGGTGTTGAGCCCAGCCTCCATTCCTCAGACGGTGTTTAGCGAATCATTCGCCTCAGAGAGACAAAGAACGTTCAAGTATGTACCTCATGTAAACAGGGTATAGCATCGTGATGTGTAAAATGGTGGTGTCAGTACGACGTCCCCCCCCACCTCAAAGAGGGTCTTACTTAGTACGACGCCTTCCATCCCCAACACTTACCTACCTATTTCCCACAATTTCCTGTTTTCTCACCCGAGGATTTTCCGTTGAGGGGGGTAGGGGGAGGGGGTATATAGTACACATGAAACAAGAAAAATCAAAAAAAAGTTGACAACCAATACAATTTTTTCCTGACGCGGCAAGTTCCTCTCAACGCCACATACGCCTCCCCCTCTCCCAAAAACGGCCGCATACGACCCCCCTCCCCCCCCCAGCTGAGAAGTACGATTCCTACGTGTATCACACAACCCTGCATGTAGAGCTTCCGAATGATGCAAACGCAGAACTGAACATGCCCATAACCCTCCCCTTTCCGAGGTTTTTTTTTGCATTGGAGAAGTTTCTATTATATAAAAACCGATATACTTCAGCCGAATCACAAATTCGCATGAAGTGCCCGACCTGGATCTGGTCATTAATCCCGTACGTTGTAGCCTCCATCTCAGCGTTTGCAAGATCTTTCCCCTACGATAAGTCAACAAAAAACAGCGTACCCGACAGTGTGTACCAGTGCTCGCTTTCAGTCGCGATCAAGTTACCGAAACGATTCGTGATATTTGCCCTGTATGTGAAGCTTATGTGGTGGAATACTGCGGAAGAATGATCTTTCAAAGACAAGCTGTACCCTCACCTCCTTCGCCCTTCGCTTGTGCCATAAGAACAGGTTGGCAGCTGCAAAAGTCTTCGTAGTTACTTGGGAGGGCACAAAAATGAAGAAGCAAGTGACTGAAGGCTAGTGCTTACGCCCGCGCTATCCACAAGATGAAGCGCTCGCTTCGATACCAAAATCCCGTACGCGAACACACCGTCAGAGGTATAGAAGAACCACAAGTGAGAGGGTGGAGACAACTAGCGTCTTTGGCTATGGTTAGGTGCGTGGCTGGCCGTACTGGAAGGGCGTGAAGAGTCGTACTACGATGCCATCCACTGGGGAGTAGCGCTTCAAATCCGCGGCAGCGCGGTAGCAGTCCAGAAAGAGCGCTCGGGTCTCACTACCCTCCAGCCCCCTGACCGTGTACTTT